CCGTNTCCCCCCNCCCCCCCCCCCTTCCGCAACATCTCGTCTCCCATCTCCAATCCATCCCATTCCCTCCCCAATCCCTCCCTTCTCCCGTGTCTGTCGCTGTGATATTACCTTCCTTTCGCAAAGATGCCTTACAATACCCGCCGGAAGTCCCTGTCGCTACCGTCGCTAGGCATCCACCTGCCAAATGCCTCGCGTTCGAACCGGTCGCCGTCGGCATCCAAGGCGTCTAGTGCGACTGACGAGCCGTTTCCGCCGTCCAAGAAGGTAAAGAGGTCGCATGACCCGGAATCACAGTCGCCAGACACGAATACAGCTTCTCTCCCAGCTGCCGCTCAGGGAAAGGGACCTGCGGATGGGAATCCGTCAAAGGGCGCGCGAGGTGCCTACGAGCACACGCCGCCGCCCTCCCCCGCCGACGGAGGCATCCCCAAAGTCGATACTGAGGGAATCAACGACGACGTCGTCGTCGCCGCCATCCAGCAGTTGGAGAAGACTGGGAACCGACCGCATCTGGTTCGAGAACTGGCTGCCGTGCTAACCACGGTCAACGAGACCGTCGCAAAGTAAGTAGTCATTCTTCTTCGCGAGACCGCGCGTCCCCTCCGTCCTAATAATGATCTTGTCTAGTTCCGCCAATCCTGCCGCCTTGCTCTCCTCTCGGCTAAGCGCCTACATGAAGCGCCCGTGGACCGCGCTCTCTCCTTGCCCGATCGCCAAGGAGTTAATACCGGTCCATCCTCGCAAGGTGTTCTACTACCTCACGACCTGCCCCGCCCAGCCTCTGCCGGAGAACCTGGACGATTCTGTCATCGTGGACGGGAAGCGAATGACGCCCAGTCTGTCCAGCGCGAGCGTCGATCAGGATGAGGAGGACGCTCTGGCTAGGGAGCGCGCGCGTCTCAGTCCCAGTCCCGAGGTGGACCTGTCGTCCCCCGAGTTTGAGGAGGATCAAGCAGACATGAACGGCCAGGCCCCTGGCGACCCAGGCGCGCCTGGTGGCGGTTTCTCCGATCCCCGCCATCATCGCCTCGTGCACAATCACCGGGCTGCTTCTCCGCCCCTGGAGGGTGACGAGAGGGAGTTCACCCAGACCGCCAGCTCTGTTCGCGAACGCGCGTCGGAAGAAAAGGCCAGCCGGCAAGGGACGGCCAGCGTCGCGAGCTTCGACGGCGGCAATGAGTCCAAAGGGCCGACGGAAGGCTTCCCGGGGTCGCCAATGGACGAGGACCCCCTCTCGTCCATGGCAGAGAACCAACTACACGGGGATCAATATGGCGATTACTTCTCGCATGGAGGCTCCCACGATCGGGAGCAGGATCTGGACGAGGCGGCCGCTGCGGCGCTCTTTGGCACGTCGCCATCGCCGTCGCTGTCTTCGGTATCATCGTCGCTCTCGTCTGGCACGAGTGCTACGTCGGCTGCTGGCTCAACCGCCGAAGGCTGCGACGAGGCAACGAACGGCCTTCACTCGTTGAAACAGAGTATTGCTGACAGCGTCCGTGGTGCGACTCCCGCGTCTGTAGTGGACGACTTGCCCGCGGCCGCCGCTCCGGTGTCGGCTCTCAAGCGCACCATCGATATGGTCGAGACTGGTTTCTCATCCAAAGTCGACATGCCGCAGAAGCAGCTGAGGGCGACGACGTTTGATTTCGACATGATCGTTGATTCGTGGAGTGATCTGCGCAGCCCAGAGACCGTAGAGGTCGACGAGCTGGACGAGATGTTCGGGGACATCTGAAAAGATACCTCGTCTGTCGGCAGACAACTCCATACCATGCCCTCTACTGAGAAGGATCTACCTTTTTAATCGCAATGTCTTCTTTTTTTTTTCATTCTCCTCGACCGGCTGCGTTAGCTGGATTTTCTTTTATGCTATCTATTTTAGTATCTCTCCTCTCCTTTTCTCTGCCTTGTTGATTGATACCTGTGATTGCCATTGATCGAGGATGATTAAATGTCGAATGGGTTTGGTTACCTGTATTCTTTATCTCTGGGGCAGCGGAATCGGTTGGATCATGCTCTTGTCTACCTGTCTATCTACCACCTACCTCCCTACCTCTTGTGTATATGCATCCGCACTCTGTCTACCCTTGTACCCTTCTGCCACTATCTTACCTACTACCTATCTACGATACTCACCTGTCATCCATCCTCTCATCCACTCACCTTTATTCTGCGGACAGAGCTGGGGTTTGGGTCTGAGTCTGAGTCTTGGGCATGAAGAACACACAACACAAGGCAACACAAAACACACAAACACAATACAATTAATCTAATTGTACTGTACATATAGCTAGCTTCTGATTGATTGATGATGAGCAAACGTGTTTCTTTTTTTTTCTCTCTGTCTTAAGTTTGGTCATTGCTCTGTTCTTGATTTATTATTGCTTTATTTACTTTTTCAAAACAGGAAAAGAAGGGAAAAAAAAGAAGGAAAGATGAGAAACGAAAGAGAAAAGAAAAAAAACCAGAGAGAAACAACTTCACTTAGATGAAGACAGATTCGATCGACCGGAAGGGGGAGGAAGAGGAAGAAGGAGAAACAAAGGGAAAAAAAACAACAGTGAAGGAAAAAAACAGGAAAAAGGGAAAGCAGGAAAAAAAAAGGAACGCAGGAAGAAAGAAAGCAAGGAAGAAAGCAAGGAAGAAAGAAAGGAAAAGAAAAGAAAAGAAAAGAAAAGAAAAGTATACCTATCTATCTAACTATCTATCTATCAATTGATATCCATTAGTACATATCTATCTATCTGTCTGTCTGTTTATCTATTCATCTATTCATCTATCTTTGCAACTTAATTGATATCTGATTATTTGTTCCTCTGAGAGAAAGGAGAGAAAGGAGAGAAAAATCGAAAACGAAAAAAAAAAAGAGAGAGGGAGATGAAAACTTCAGAGAAGACAAAAAAAAAGAAACAAGAGAAGACAGGAAAAGAACAAAAAAAAATCAATATTAAAGAAAAACTTTTTAAATGAGCAGGTATATGATATACTTACTATATACTCTGTTAGATGATAAGCCTGTATTTATTTATTCCCTTGTTCTTTTTTTTTTCTTCTTTTTTTCTTTTTTCTTCTTTTTTTTTCTCTCTGGGCTTTTCTTGTCAGATAATAAGACATACATTCATTCAATTCATACATCTGGATATATACATCCATGGTATGGATATGATAAGATCCACACGTATGTACACTACATACAGTTACGACGGTTTCTCCTACTCGCTCTCCTCCCCCTGCTCCCTTGGTAACAGGATGATGGATGGATCATTTCAAGGTGAACTAATTTCTTCTTTTTCTTTTGTTTCCTTGTTCAGGATATTTAATGCATTTGCATGTGCATTATTTCCGCTCAGCTCAGTAAATAAGTATCTTCCTACTGTACGGAGTATGTAGTTACAGACAGGTAGTCGTTCGGTTCGGTAGTAGTACCCATCTAATCTATCCATTCATTTTATGTATGTATTCATTTTATGTATTTTAGTATGCATTTAGTATTTATGTATGTATGTACACATCCGTCCCTGCCTGTCCAATTAAGTTACTCAGTAAGTCACTAAGTAACTGAGTGATATCAAACTCCATCATCATTATTATGCCCATCATGCCATGCCATGCCTATCGTCAATATCATTCATTCGTTGGTTTTTGTCCCCTTGCCTTTTTTTGTGTGTGTGAGTGTTTGCTACACTTCTCCTTCTTCGCTTCCGCCGCCTTCTTCGTCGGCGTCTATCTCTCCTTCTTCTTTTATTTCTCCTTCCTCTTCTTCCTTTATTTCGCCTTCTTCTTCATCATCACCTGCTTCTGCTGCTCCCTGTGTTCGACCGCGTTCAGGAGCAGCAGATCCTGCAGCAGATCCTGTAGTGGTGGTGCTCGGTTTTTGACCGCCTCCGCCTTCGTCTCGTCCTCCTCCGCCGGATCCTGACGTTACTGACGAGCGACGTCTCTCGCGCTGCCAGTCTCGATCTCGATCTCGATCCCGATCCCTATCCCACGCTGGACGATACTTGTCGCCGCGCGGTTTGTCGTTGCCGCTGTTGCGAGCTAAGCCTTGCTGCACAATCTCGTCGATCCGCTGCTGAATAGGGTCGGGCGCTTCGTGAGAAACAGGCGGTGGGGGAGGAGGAGGCGGTTGAGGGTATGGTCTGTGATGATTATGTTGTTGATGATGATGTTTCGAATAAGAAGGATGCGAGTTTTGTGATGAGTAGTATTCGTTACTGCTGCTGGCCGGATGGTGTCCGTTGACGGGCTGAGAGGAGAAGGAAAGATTGGACGAGGTTGAGGCCTGTGAACTATTGTAGTGGTGCGTATCCGGTGGTGGCTTTGGTTCCTTCGAATCACTGTCTTGAGACAACCGTTGCCGCTTCGGAGAAGGCTCTTCGTTGTGATGGCTGCTGTCAAAAGACGACCCGTTCTTCAGAGACTGCTGCTCTGGCGGATGCGACGAGGAACCAGGGCGACTGCCCGTGTTGTCCTCCTCTGCCTCTCTTGAACGCTTCCGCCCATTCACTTCTCCATCCGAGGACGTGCCCGTAACGCTGTCGCGGCGAGGACGGGGAATTCGCGTCGTCTCGAGAACCGCTTCCCCCTCGATAGGAACGGTCGGATACGGGTGGCTTTGCCGGTGGACCGAGTTTTTCTCATACAGCCGGACCATCCGGTTACACGCCTGCCGCACCTTGGAAAGATCGACATCGATTTGCTCCCACCACGGACGCCCTGCCGCATCATCCTCGAACGCCACGTTGCATAGCCGAGCAGCCGCATAAAGAGCGCTGGCAGCGATGATACGGGGGGTGAACTGCAGACAGAGAACCGTGTAGCTGGAGTCATTGACGAATGCCCAGGCCGCATTGCGCAGAGGCTTGTTGTCATTGACTCCGAAGAAGCAGATGAACTCGTACAGAATGCGATACGGCTGTTCCAGCTGCAGATCGAAGCACAATGCCTCAAGAAGCAGATCTTCCGTGTGCAATATCGTGTCCCGCCACTTCCAGAATTCCTTGGATTGTTCGTCCACGACCAGGTCCGGCTTTTTCTGCGCGACCCGGCAGCATGCGACAACAAAATCTTTCATCTTCCGACAGTTCTCTTCCATCTTGGAAGCAAGAAAGAGAGACGTCGCCGCAATAGGATACGGGTGCATTCCCGGCCGATTGGGCAGATCAACCATGCTGTATCGCATGAAAAACCGGTGCAGATACACGCTTGCGGTCGCGAGAGTGGGCTGTGGAAGCTTCAACATGATCCCGACCTGCACAATGAAATTGACACCCTTGCTGCGACTCGTATGCTCGGCCTCCATGGACATGCCATCCAGTTGCGATGGCGTCCGCGTGAGCTCTTCATCTGTGAAGAGCCATTGGGACTGCGCTTCGAGCAGGACGGGATTCGACGGCGCTGGGACAGGTCGCACTTCCTTCGGCTGCGAGGACGGGGATGCCATCAGGGGCATTTATTTCTTCTTCTAGAACACAGCGAGAAACGAGAGAAGCTCCGTTGAGACGTTATGATACAGATACTTTCGTGTAAACGACGGCCAGCGTGGAAAGAGAGTCGTTGTCGAGCGGAATGTAGCTCCGAGGGATCAGTCGATGGAGTGAGTAGAAGCAAATGCGCGCGCGGAGGCAGACTGGGCAATCCAGCCTCGAAAGAAACGTCCTTCCGTTCCTGCGGAGAAAGTGGTGATCTAGATAGATAAGAAGTTAAAAGAGTGAGAGAACCATGGCGGAATGAATCGGTATCATCGTGCGGCGTTTGTCTTTTGCGGTGGATGTCGCAAAGGGCTGTGCGGCGGATGAGCCCAGCGGTGCACCCAAGAGGAAATATCCAACTCGAAGGGGGGAAAGGGCAGCCTAAATTCGAGCCTAGAAATAAGGTAAGAAGTGAATGGTATCGCAAGGCTGCCGAAATGGAGGATAAATGGGGTGGCAGGGTTATTGCTGAGCGCGAGCGTCTTGACTTCCAAGGCCGTCGGATGCGACGACTGGATAAGGCCGGATCATCTGTTGTTCCGTGCGCAGCTACCACGCCCTCGGAGATAACAATGCGAGGCCTACAAAGAGAAAGGACTTTTACCTGTGAAGTCTCTAGGAATTATGTAATACATAGATATAGCCAAGCAAATGAACTGAACTGAGCTGAACTGAAGTGAAAATACATTGCACTCATGGTATATGGTATCAAATATCCAATATTTCCCGCCAGGCTCAAAGGCCATCATTGTTTCCAAAACTCCCAGTTGCGCCGCCGCTATGTTCACTTGAATAGATAGAAAAACAGCCAGCCTGATAACCCAGTAATCTATGGTATATTCGTCAGATTCTTACTCCTCCTCGCTTACCTCACTCTCGTCTTCATCGCTAAGTACGGTATATTGCTGCTGCTGCTGCTGCTGGTGGAGCTGCTGACTTCTCGTCGCCTCCTCTTCTTCGAATGCAGCTTCCATCTCCGCAGCCAGCGGATCATCCTCCATTTCGTCATCAGAAGCTTCCTCGTGCTGTGCAGGCGGCTGGTCACCGCTTGTGTCATTGTGCCGGGCCGGAGATGGTAACCGCAAATCTTCAATTTCCTCTTCATCGTCACCATCATCATCGGCTTCATTGGCGGATGTGTTATTCGACGAAAAATGAGCAGGATTAACCTTGAACGCTGGACGTGACGGTGGCGAACCCATGTCAATGATCAGGTCTCCGTCGATAATGATATTGGAGCTTGGAGACGCCCCGATCTTGCTCGACTCGCGTTTGTTGTCCCTCTGCTCCTCATCTGAAGGCGCTGATTCAGAAACCACATCCTCCTGCTCGACACGAGGAGTAGACTTTGGCGGTGACCTCGCTGTTGCAGAGCTGGCGCTCGCCGCAGCAGCCTTTGGCGGCCGCTTCACCTGCCGGAGGGGGTTGGTCTGTGGCTTGGTCTTTGGCAATGGTTTTGGTTTGGCTTCCTTGGTAGACGACAGCGTCGGGGTGGTGCCATTGTTTGCAGTGTTGTGCGGGTCTGGGGTTGTGTTTGGAGAAGCAGCGGGTTTGTCCCGTTCAGTGTTCTCCTTGGGAAGGAAATGTCGGAAGTCGTAGGGATTGCTCTCATCTGCCGCTTCGGGTCTCTCGTCGTCGCTCCCTTCCTGCTTGGACCGGTCATCTCCCGAGGCCTGGTCCTCCTCCGGCAGGGTGCTCAGCTGGGGATACTGTTCCAGCACCTGTTTGTCCGACTTCCCTGGTGCGGAACGCAGATTGAAGTTCAAGCTCGTGCTGACCGGCTCCAAGATAAACGCCTTCCGCTTTGGGTCAAAGACGAGAACCAGGTTTTTTGTCTCAGACTCCTGCACCGGCACAGATGGGTCAACACTCCCCCGATATGAATATGTCAACGTCGTCTGTTCCGCATTGCCAGCCTTGTCCTTGATCGTGAGGTTGTAGATGTCCCGCGACGTCGACGAACGGGTAATAGTTGTCCGTTGCTGGGGCGTGGCCGACTTGCTCTTGTAATTGTATGTGATATTGACGAACTGGGTCCCATCAGCTTTCCCCGCCAACTTATCACCCAGCAGGATCGGATACTCGGCTTGTTTCGTGGGATCGACCAAGAGGGCGGATGACGAGGGAGCAGAAAGAGTCGACATGGGGCCGGCAGTCTCGACGAAAGACGTATATATATATAAAAGGGGCAAAACAACGAGGATTAATGGGCTCCAGGAGAGACCATAGGCATAAGCATTGGGCGGAGGCTACGGCGTGATACAAGCGAAGAAGGCGTACGTGGACTCTCGTAGGAAAGGGACCGGAATAGCGACACAACGCCAGGTTAGCAATGATCTATATATATAGATTAGCAGGATAAAGACAAAGACTATCTCCCAGCAGCAATAGTGGAGGGAGGCCTCTCCATCACTGGGAAGACCTGGACAGGGACCAGGGAGGAGAGATGGAAGTGCTCAAAGCCGCCGGTCTGGACGTAAAGTAATCGAGGGCGGGATCGGAATGAATGGAGAGCGCGGAGACCCGCTGAGTCCGTGACCGCGAGAGGGGCGTGACCCGCCACTAGCCCCGAACCGGCTAGTGCACGCGGCAGCTGATACGGTCACCAGGGTCTTCCTAGACGGGCAACGGGCATTATGTCCGTCTCCAAGAACTGGTAAGACTAGTCGAGTCTGCAATATCATTGTATGCTTGAGGGAGGCGAATACTGCATTATGCTCTATTTCATATTGGACTCTAGTGCACAGGTGAAGTTACCCGGGACGCGCTCTTCCCAGCAGCAGCAGCGGATGTGTGGCCACTGGTGAGCTGCTCCAGCTTCCCTGCCAACTCCCGGTGCTTTTTCATCACCTGTTCCCACTCAGAAACAATATCTGGCCCTCCGTCCATGTTCTCTGCGTCCTCATCAGGAGTCCCCAGTTCGGTGAGGATCATGCTGAAGTCCCCGCCCAGCCGTCCCAAACTGGCCGCGCAGTAGAGAACCTGGGTCAGAAGACTCTCCCGGGAGCTCTTGTCCTGCACATTGGGCAGGTACGCCCGAAGCGTCTCTGTCAGCAACCGCACCAGATGCATGGGAAAAGTGGCCACTGCTGGTGGCAGGGCCTGCAACGGATCCTTCTTGTTGCTCTTCGCCGGTGCCTTCGTTTTCAAACTCACGGACCGCAGATCGAGACCCGGTATGCTCGCGGATGCCAAGTCGCTGTCAGACTGGTCCTGTGCGAAAATATTCTTGTAGAGTGAGACAATAGCGAAGCTCTGTTCTCGGTAGATTTCAATGTATCGCTTTAAGAATCGTTCCGTCTGATGCCCACCGGACCATGCGCTAGCATTGGCCGATGACGACTGCTGAGTTTTCGTAGCCTCAAGCCGTCGTTGCGTCTCCTGATCGGCAAGCTCCCGGAGGGGGTCCAACGCTTCAAGCGTGGATACCAGGTTCGCCAGTCGACATATGAGGAACAACGCGCCAAAGGAGCCTTCACCCGATGTCGATGGTCCGCCGTCCCTTCGCGGGTTTTCCAATTCAGGCGCAACACGCCGCAACCAACCCACTGTCCTCATAGCCGCCGCCAGTCGGATATTCTGCGTGCGAAGCCCAGCGATGAGATTACTCGTCATATCCTTCATCGCATCCTCCGCCTGTGTCACAATGTCCTTAATGAGGGGGGAATCAGGATAGAGGGTCTGAAGTCGTTTGATGTGCGAGTAGAGATCCAGGGCGGACGAGTAATTGGTCGTGTAGAGGCTGCCCGCGGTCGCGCCTGTAGTCGCAGACGACGAGGACACGGCTGTCGAAAGTAAGGCAGGTAGCTCGAGGATGTCGGATATCCGGTCTACATTTCTTGACAGTTGCATGGCCTTCTTTCGCCGATCCAGAATCGGATTTTCTCCAGTCTTGCTGTATGTGGATGAAAATCGCACGGCCTCATCATCGAGCTTCGGGATCGCATCTTGTAGCTGTTTGACCTCGCGCGCTAGCGAGGGGATCGAGGTTCGGAGGGTCGAGAGATGATCGGATGACGAGATGAAGGCTTTATGTGAGCGGTTGGAGAGGGCCTGGAGTGAGAGGAGTATCGAATGAGAGGACTGAGCAATGGATTGGGGCTCTGTGGTCTTCAAGGATTCAAGGGACAGCGTGGTTAGACGGTTGATGTATTTCGAGGTCGTCGCATCGATCGATGAAGATGATGACGGTCGTCGTGGGCGGGATGTGGTGGTCGTCGGAGAGGCATTGTTATTAGTATTTCTGTCCAGATACGGAGCAAGCAGCTCGAATAGCGGTTCTGTCATTGTGTGCGGGAATTGCGAAAGATTTACAGTATCCCAACGTCGACCATGTCAAGAGAAATGGAACCTTGGAAGTCATCAAGCTTAATTGGAGATTGCTCGTGCAGCGAACCCACCTGTACGTAGTACAATCAATAATCGCCTCCGGCGGGCGCAGCGGCCACTTGCGCAGCTCCGCTGCGGGCAGCGATCATGCCATCATTCCATTTCGCCAGCTGCATCTGAAACGTTCTAGGAGAACCCCTCACGGCCTTATCTTGCTGGAACAATGTCCGTCAAGTGGAAGCGAGGCCGTTTCACATCGCCCATGAGGACAGTTCATCCTGATCCAGATTCATTTTCAAGCACCTGACACTTACTACTGAACACTGGTATCTTACAAACTTAGTATTCAGAGCAGTCTATTACTATCGATTAATCGATTATCGAACTATAGAAAAAAAAATACTCCGTCCATACGTCAGAATGGGCAAGCCACGGGTTGGTAAACCGCTTCTTCCCTCATCTGTGGTTTGTCTGACTCTTCTCTGCACAACTTAGATGATCATCTTGATTCGCCATGCCCAGTCGGAGGGAAACAAGAATCGCGAGATCCACCAATATATCCCGGATCACCGGGTGAAGCTCACGCCGGAAGGGCACAAGCAGGCGCTGGAAGCAGGCCGCAGGCTACGAGCCATGCTCCGCCCTGATGACACCCTTCACTTCTTCACGTCGCCGTACCGCAGGGCTCGTGAGACGACGGAGGGGATCCTGAAGTCCCTGACTTCGGACGATCCATCGCCTTCGCCCTTCCCACGGCACACCATCAAGGTGTACGAGGAGCCGCGGCTACGGGAGCAGGACTTTGGTAATTTCCAGCCATGCTCGGCGGAGATGGAGCGCATGTGGCAGGAGAGAGCAGACTACGGGCACTTCTTCTACCGGATCCCGAATGGAGAGTCGGCAGCGGATGCGTATGATCGGATCAGCGGCTTCAACGAGTCGCTTTGGCGACTGTTTGGGGAGGACGACTTCGCCAGCGTCTGCGTCCTCGTCACGCATGGACTGATGACCCGCATTTTCCTGATGAAATGGTACCACTTTAGCGTCGAATACTTTGAGGATCTCCGAAACGTCAACCACTGCGAGTTTGTGATCATGGAGAAGAACCCAGATAATGGGAAATACATCCTGCGGACGAAGCTGCGGACGTGGTCAGAACTCCGCAAGGAGAGAGAACTGGAGAAGCAACGTGAACGAGCTGCAAAGGGGCTTCCAGAACCGGCCCCCAGCGCGCCTGAAGACTCGCCGGTCCCGGTCAGGCGCAAATGGGGCGGCTGTCCAAATGGCTGTAACCATGCTGCTGCGAGACCGAAGATGTGGCGACCGGCGAGGCAGGATACGGTCGACTTGTTTCGAGACGATGACGATGGTGGAGAGACAAGCGATGGCCAGACCAGAGAAGCCGCCAGGGAGTCTTCAGATCTTTCAAATCCAGAGGGAAAGGCCTCAGCCGCCAAGCAGGTGTCCCGTACGAATAAGCCAAAGGCGAACCTCTCCATTGTGGCTCCCAGGCCCGAGTCCATAGATGAGATCATCTCTTCTCCCGATCAAACACCATCTTATATATCCCTGGCTGCTCTCGCCGCTCCTCGAGCGACTTCCTCCGTCTCCGGAGCAGACGCGGCCGACAGCGGACTGAGGCCGACGGAGCGTACAGCACGGCTGCCTTCGGTCTCGCCACTCCGATTGAACAGTGATGATGATGATGATGATGATGATGATGATGATGATGATGATGATGATGATGATGATGATGATGATGACGACGATGATGATGATACAGATAGCCGGAAGCCCTCCCGGCCCTAGCCAGAAAATCCCGTCCGACGGAGAAGAAGTGGACACTGCTCTTCAAGAAATCCACCATCCTTCGCAAGACGCAGAAGACGACGGCGACGGCGACGACGAGGGAAGCGGCACACGACGGTCCGTCAGGCGATCAAAGCAGCAGCAGCCGCAACATCACCATCATCACTACCATCACCATCCTCATCAGCACTATACCGATAAGAGCAGCAAGCAGCAACATGAACAACCTAGCGGTCCTCGCATAGCCAGCGTCCTCAGAGATGGGGACGACCATGATGAAGAAGACGATGGCGCTGACGCCGACGATGACGACGCTGACCGAGGCGATGGTCGTGACTCCCTTGAGCTGGAGCGGGAAAGAGACCAGAGTATACGCGGGAGCGTATACTGAGGTAGCCAGCTCTAGCTAGCCAGCCAGCCAGCCAGATGGATACCTAGGTAGATAGGTAGATGACGAACGAACGAATGAATAAAGCCTGCAAAGCACAGCACGCGTCATGACTCCTGGACTTGTTTCTTTCTTTTTTTATGTGTCTTTCCCGGACAGACACGATCAAAGAAAATAGGCTATGGCATGCGAAAATAACCTTACCAGCAAGCATCGAGTCTAACCTTCCAATTCTTTCCCGTCTACATCCCAATCTACAATAGTCGTTGATTCAAAGGAATACACGATACTCGTCTACAATACAGCTTGCACGAGAAAGGAAGAAAGTTTCGGACGACAATCCTTCTTTTCAATTGAGATCTGTCTCTGTTTTTATCCTAAGAGAATGATTTCAATAAAAGAGCCTCCCACGCCTTCCAGAAGTCCGGCCGGCGGAGGCGAAACACAAAAAATAATAAAAAATAGATAAATGCCCACTTTCACTTTAATTACAACAAGGGGGGAAAGAAATCAATGCCAGGATTGACCAGTGGCACCAAGGTTGGGGGAAGATGAAGAAAAAAAATAACGGAAGAAACCGGAATGATAAGGATCGGGACGAAGACGAAGAGCTTCAATGATAAGAACACGAGCAAAAAAAATCCACCGAGGGAAAAAAAAAAGAAGCAACCAACAGTGTAAGTGACCCAGAATTTTTTGATTGTTTTTACTTCAGATGCCTCGTACATTTCATCGTAGCAGGATTGTCGGGTAACCGAGGGCTTTCATCGACAAGGGGGGTGAAAAAAAAAGAGAAAAAAAAAGGCCCGCACAAATGGCAAGGGCATCGAAAGAAGAAAGGACGGAAAATATGAACATACCCTCCCCGCTTACAGCATGCCATGATCCGATAATGTGACCAAAGAAAAAAAATAAGGGGAATAAAAAATAAACAACGCCCAGTCTGATGATGGTGGGTAGAGATGATGCATCAACCTGACAATCCACGAATTCACGAATCGCAATCTATGGGTAATACTCGCCAAAGAAATGCCCAATGGAAAAGGGAAATTTAAAGGGAATAAAAAAAAGGTACAGCCGAGCTGGAGCCGAAGATGAGGACAAATCGCGTACAAGATCATGAATCGTCGTAACTGCTTTTTTCCCGAGACACGTATGGTGACTGAGACGACTTCGGCTGCGGCGAAGACGTGGTTCCGGTTTCAAACGGTCTGCACAGAAAGCGACGAAACTGAAGACCATGACAGATCGACGACAAGAAGATCATGTCACTTCGCTCCAAACGTCCGTAGTAGAGCAGATCGAAGGGGGGAAAAATAGATTACTTTTTTTTTCGAGAAGCAAGATCAGAGCAGTGTAATCCGAGCATGTTGACAAAATGACAAACGAAAATGACAAAAATCGTCTCGAAAACTTTAAGCGGTATCATTGCAAAGGATGACAACAAAAAAAAGGGCGAAGGCACGAGAGAAGTTGACCATCTTCAATTCAAGACGGCTACAAGATTCCTCGTGTTCGAAATGCCGCACCAAGATGGACTAGCCGGCAACAGGCTGCA